TTGCAGGGGGACAGTATTTGGCAGCAGCAGACTGTAGTGGGCTGTAGAATATTGCAGGGGGGACAGTATTTGGCAGAAGACTAGTGGGCTGTAGAATATTGCAGGGGGGACAGTATTTGGCAGCAGCACTCTAGTGGCAGTACCTCCACGAAGGTCAGTAGGTCTCCAGTGAACAGCTTGTGGTTGTACTGGGAGCAGGGGCGCGGCCTCCTCACACGAACAGACTGGCTGGACTGCAGCCTGGAGACAACCAGCCGTTTAACAGCATGCATGCCCACACACACACATCCGCTGTACCACAGCAGAGCTGGCACACACGCAGTGACCTCGCTACTGGGCTACTGCACTGGCACTGACTGTGGTCCTGCCACTGACACGCACACACGCCGACACACAGGGCACCCAAGGGCACCGGCTGGTGACCAGCACATGACCACCAGGATAAGGCGGCTTGAGCTTGGGCTGCAGTTTCTTATCTTACCTGGTGGGGTCGCTGTCGATAGCTTCCGCTGGGAGGGAGAGAGAAACAGAGGCAAGGGGTTTAAGACACCTGACACTGCACCCGTGACCTTTTATCTGTACTTATTTATGAGGCGCTGAGCAGCTGTAGTATTGCATTGAGAGAGTGTCGTGTGCAGTGTGGGAGAACACCCTTCTGCGTCTTGGCCCGGCACAGGGAATCTGCATTGCATTGTAGTAGCCCAGCCATTGTCTAACTGTCTTGTCTCGTTCCTGTGCCCTGCTGTGGCATCATGCTTTACCCCAGCACCTGTTGCTTTTCTCCTGCCTCAGCTGTGCTTTGTGACATTTTACTCTCCCTTTCCCATGGTGCATCTCAGGAAAGGTCTATCTTGGCTTTGGTGTCGTGTCCCGTATTCGTCTGCCTGTGCTCACACTGTGCTATACTGTCAGGTACTGCACGCACACAAGGGGGCGCTCACGGCACCTTTCTCGATGGCCTCCTTCAGCAGGTCGTGCTTGGCCTGGAGTTTAGAGATGAGATTGCTGCCACTGAGGTACTCCTTCACTTTCTGAGAGGGAGAAAGAGGGGGGAGGAGAGAGATGGACAGAGGTGGGAGGAAGGAAGGGGGCGCAGGGAGAAAAAGATGAGAGAACGTCTAATAATTATGATATTAATAATTATTAGCATTATTATTGAGCAGAAAGGACTGGAAGTCCCTCCCCCTGCAGCTCCGTCCAATGGGAGACTCACATTGAAGTAGAAACTCTCGGACTCCTGCTGATTGGCTCTCTTCTTGGCCAGGCTGGACTTGTTGCCAGTGGGGTCGGGGGCGCTGGCCCTGGACTGCTCTGCTGACTGCCCTGCTTGGGGGGTTTCAGGGGAGCTGTACTCCTCCGTGCTGATGGAGTCCAGCAGAGCCTTCAGAGTGGCCCGCAGGGTCTTATTGACCTGAGACGGGAGGAAAGGAGAAAAAGAGGTGGGGGCAGGTTAGAGGATGTGCCGGCGTTCTGTATAATAGAAAGAAAAAGAAGAAGGATATGTTGTTTGCCTGTTTTAAGTAAGAGGACAGTGCTGCACATTGCACAGTGTGTAAAGTGCAAATGTGAGCAGTGTGTACAGTGCATCAGTGTATAGTGTGTACCGTGGAGTGTATCGGCGCTGTGTGTGTGCAAGGAAGTGTATCAGTGGATGGTGCACACTATGTAGTGTGTCCAAAGTGCAGTTTATAAAAGTGTGGTGTACTGTATCAGTGTACGGTGTATCACTGTACCCTGTGTGTCCAGTGCACTGTAACAGTGTCAAGTGTATCTGTGTATGTGCGGTGCAGTGCTCAATGTTCAGTGTATACGATGCAGTGTATCAGTATGCAGTTTGCGTGCAGTGTGTCAGTGCACTGTGTATGCAGTGAAATGTATAGTACCGTGCATACATGGAGTGTATCATTGTGTAGTGTGTGTGTGGAGTGTATCAGAGCACTGTGTGTACAGTGAAATGTACAGAACCATGTGTGCATGGAGTGTATCACTGTTTAGTGTATCAGTAAGCAGTGTATCAGTTTGCAGTGTATGTGCAGTGTATCAGTGCACTGTGTTTGTACTGCAATATACAGTACAGTGGATCAGTGTGTGTGCATAGTGTATCACTGTGCAGTGTGCATAGAGTGTATTGGTATGGAATGTGCATGCAATGCGTCAGAGTGCAGGGTATGCTCAGTGTATCGGTGTGCAGTGTAAATGCAGTGCGTCAGTGTGCCATGTATCAATGTGCAGTGTTTCAGGGTGGAGTGTACGTGCAGTGTAGCAGAGTATATTTGTATTGATGTGGAGTGTATGGTCTGTGTATCAGTGTGCAGTGTACCAGTGTACAGTGTGCAGTGTGCATGCAGTGTACCAGTGTGCTGTGTATCGTGTGCAGTGTGCATGCAGTGTATCGTGTGTAGTGTACC